TTGAACTGCCAGCTTTCTGGTTAGCAGTCAAGTAAGTGCCTTAGGCACTACACTACCAGAGTGATGTAGTAATTCTAAAGAGCTCTAGTGGCACAATGCCTAAGGCATTTGACTATTAACCAGAGGTTGGTGGTTCAAATCCACTGGCTGCTCTGTGGAAGGAAGATGGGACAAACTACTTCTGTAAAGATTTTCCAGAATCGACTCAATGGCAGTGGGTTTTTTTTTAAAGGTAATTCTAGTGTTCTGGTGGTGCAGAGATTAAAGCCCTCAGCTACTAAACAAAAGCTCAGCAGCTCAAATTCACCAGCTACTCTGTGGGAAAAAGATGTGGCAGTCTGCTTCCGCAAAGATTTACACCCTTGGAAACTCTATGGGGCAGTTCTACTCTGTCCTATAGGGTCACTATGAGTCGAGATATTTGGTGTTTTGGGTTTATGGTAATTCTATGCACAACATGTTTTTACACTACAGCTTTACCAAAGAATCTTCAGACTCCGGAAGTGACAAAACAGTTTTATTCTAAGTGTCTGTAACATAGGTTCCTTCAAGCTTCATAGGCTGAAGGGGCTGATCTCTCCTCCAGTCCTTCTCAGTAGACATGAACTTGATGAAGAGAAATAATGCTGGAACCAAATACTCGCCCAGGACTACTTGATGTTGACATTCCGCTCTAAAATATCCTTGCATTGAGTCTGGATGAAGTTCTGAAAGGTGCTGCTGTAGAACACCCAAGATGGGATCAGGTTCAGGAAACCTGCCTTCATACATTCAAGACAAAAATGTGAGTGTCTGGGAGAAAAGAAGTTATGGCTAAATACTTCAGTTGATAGTCACAGTCTTGAAAAATATATTTTCTTTTAAGCAGTAGCTAAATTTTAAAAGTCTTATAACAATTTTACACCAAACAAGGTATTCTCAGGCACCAAAACAGTCACTTTATACTCTTTACACTCTTTTGAGCACACTAAAGTACTGAAGATCTCTAGGGTAAGCTTTCACTCATTTCTCTTGCTCTTTGTGAATGAGTTTTCTGCTTGGAGCTTTTTTTCCTCATCTTGATCTCCCAATGTCTTCATGTTCTCTCTACCAAGTTTCTATTAAAATAAGATTCCAGGAAAGAATCAGAAATCCTTTCCATCACCTAGTTCACCTAGCTCAATGCCTGCTCAGCAAATATCTGAATACATGAATGCATTCATGAATGAAAAGTGTCATAGTCAGATGTAAATTATTAACATGGAACATTTGCTTTTAAAAAGCAGGGAAGGCCTTGGAACCATAACTCATACCATATACAAAAATTAACTGAAAATGGATAAATGACCTAACAGAGAATTAAACCATAAAACTCTTGAAGACACATAGGGTAAAGAATCAGGACCTAATTTTTTTAAAACGGATTCTTAGATGTAACAAAAATGCACAGCAACAAAAAGCAAAATAGATAAATTAGACTTTATCAAAATTAAAATCTTTTATGCTTCAAAGAATTTTTTTTTTAAAAAAAAAGTGAAGAGATAACCTACAGATTGAGAGAAATTTGGGGGAATCATATATCTGAGAAGGGTTTAATATCTAGAAGATATAAAGAACTCGAACTGAAAATAAAAAGGCAAACAACCCAATTTAAAAACAAGCAAAGTACTTGCATAAACATTTCCAAACAAGATATGCAAATTGCCAATAAGCATATGAAAAGATGCTCAATGTCATTTGTCATTGTTGTTGTTGTTGTTATATGCCTTCCAGTCGGACCAACTCATAGCGACCCCTCCTTGGGTTTCTGAGGCAGTATCCCTACGGAAGTAGATTGCCCCATCTTCCTTCCGAGGAGTGGCTGGTGGGTTTGAACCACCAGCCTTCTGGTTAGCAGTCAAATGCCTTAGGCACTATGCTACCAGAGCTCCCACACACAATCACACGCACACACACACACAAAGAGAAGAAACCTTAAGTCAAGGCGTGAATTCCTACTTAAATACATTTCAGACCAATATATAGGCTTTAGAAGATTTCTTGTCCTCAAATCAAACCAGTGTCCTATAACACAACTCTAGGCCTCTGGGATCAGTCATTTTGTGCAGAGTGGGATCTTGTCAATCCAGCATTTCCCAATTCACCTACTGTTAAGAACAACACAATTTCAACCGGTGGGGGGCACTAAGGAGCTTTTCAGGGAGCTGCTCATATTTACTCAGGCAACTCATATCCATTCCTCTGAGATATTCTCAAAGCAGGGGACTAAAGACAGCTGAGAACCCTAGCAGAACTTTTCTTCCACTAGCCTCATCAACAGATTGATACAACTTCTTTCTCAAGAACTTTCTTTTTCTCCCAATCAGAATTTTTATATCTTACAGAAAAATCAAGACCTTTCAGTGGCGTTGTCTTGATCTAAATGTTTTCGCTTAGTAAGGCCAACCACCAATACAGTAAAGAAAATAAAGTAAAATCCAGACCCCTAGAAAATGTCCCAATACGGTCCCTCTCCCATCCCCATATTTGTTAATCCCCTATATTATTGATTGAATTGTGCTACCTCAAAAGATATGTTGAAGTTCTAGCCCCTCTATCTGTCAATGTGATCTAGTTTAGAAACAGGGTCGTTTAGGATGTTGTCAATTAAGCTGACATGAAATCATAACGGGGTAGTTGTTGTGTTGTTGTTATGTGCCTTCGAGTCGGATCTGACTCATAGCAACCCTTCCTTGGTTTTCCGAGGTGATATCACTACGGAAGTAGATTATAATGGGGTAGAATGGGTCCTAATTATATAGAACTTGTATCCTTATAGAAGAGAAGATACACAGAGACAGGGAGACAGAGCAAGGATAGTCATGTGATGACACAAGCATATATAGCTGCAAGCCAAGGACCTCCAAGGATTTCCAGGAGCCACCAGAAGCTAGCACCG